AATTTTCAAAAAAATATGAATTTTTGATAAACTATTGTGAAAGTACTGAGATATTCTAGAAAAGATCTAAAAATCACTAGACAAAGCGCGATAAAAGTTTTAAACTTAGGATTAATTTCAACTACTAAAAAAATCATACGAATAATTCTTTAACTTCCATTTTCTATGTTAAAGTTGTAGATAAACGGGAAAAAGTATTTTAATTTCTGATATGATTTTTCGCACCACCAATTTCTGCAAGTGCTTCTTGTCTTTCTCCTATTCTCAAATGTTGTTATCAACTCTTTAGTTAATTACATTGCCTTATCACCGTCGGCTAAGGAATTACAACATGTCTTAAACCGTTCTTATCACACTCCTATTGTTACGGTGTCCAATGCAGCTAGCTCTCCTCTCGTGTACTGTAGCCTAGCTTTTTCAGATGCGCTTGGGTTTATGCCTGGCCTTGGTGGCCGCTTGCTTCGCGCTTGATCGGGATGTCGGCTACCTTATGTCCAGGGAATCAAACGACGTAAGAAGATTGGATCACACATATTGTTTTCCAAGTCATATTACCCATGTTCTTGTTTAGGCCGCACAGTTGAGGTGTTATGTGGGTATCGTCGCTTCTTTAAACAACACATCTATTGGAACGGAAGTAATTAAACAAAAACTGCTGTAGTAACCTAAACTAACCTGATCTTATGACAGGTTTTCTGCGACGGTCTCTGCGGTTCAATTTCAACAACAAGCGGAGAATACGACTTCACCACCTACAACTGTTTCCCACAAAGTTTCTGCGCGTAAGAGATTGCATACTGGAATCTAATGTTCATTGACAGAAACAGCATATGATATAACCTTCTTCAGTGCGGCAAATCTAACTAGCGCCTGTACCACGATTTACGCAGACCGCAATCTGACAGGATGTTGTTGTAATACTGATAATTGTAACGTGCAAGGAACTAACATTAACACAACTATCCCTATTTCTCCTCCAGAAGAGCCTATCGTCTGCTATTCGGGTCTCATTGTCAATGGTAACCCCACGGCTGGATCAGGGTTAGTTTTTGAGAAAGTATTGTACGGATGAGTTCGGTCAGGATTAAATGACTTGATTCTGGTATTAGACAAATATGTTAGGCTAGTTTCAAAGGCTCCCATAAAATACAGATACTTAAAAAGTGCGAGCCACCTTAACTCGTATAAAATATCTATGTTCCTCCTAGTTTGCTTCTATAGATCCGGAAAAAGTCAGTGCTTCTTCTAGTACGCAGAACTCTTGCAAGTCCTATTCAGCATCAAAATAATGCCACGATTATCTCAGCGCATTCAGCGATAATCATAGCGAAACGATTTTAAAGACAACCTAAGCGATATTGTAAAAAGAGACACATGCCATTCACAATCAATATTTAAATGTTTCCCCTTCTTCTAGCTGGATTGCCTGCCAAGGCGATTGTGTGTCAATCACTATCAACAGCACAGTGGCTGGTTCTCCGATGCTTGGCTCAATATATACTTGCGATCCCACCTCCGTCTGCACTTCTCTAGGTGAGAATTATCGGCTCTCATCTAAAGAGAACCGTTGAATAATCGGATTCATTGATCCTTCCATATAGGCATCATGAACCGTTGCCACGATGTCGAACCTC